TACCATGCGCCCGGGCCGGCTCCGGCAAGACGCATGCACCACGATGGGCACCGTGTTGGGGACCACTGAGCTAGATAATTTCTTGGAGGTTAGGTCCATAAAAGGCTACTAGCCAGGGGATAGAAATGGTGTCCTTGGCCTCTGTTTGTCAGAGGCTGGAGATGGATGGCAGGAGACAAATCGCTTGATCATGGTCTTCGGTCCACCCTCCCCGGGGCACCTGGTACTGGCCACTGTGGGCAGACAGGCTCCCGGGCTAGATGGACCTTTGGTCTGACCCAGTCCGGCCGCTCTTATATGTTCACTGATAAAAGTGGGCAGCCCCTTATGAGCTTTCTCTGTGTAAAACTTATACATGGAGTAAAGTGAATTAATTGGGGTTTTGGCCCCTTTCGGGGGTTGGTGTCTGGGTCCTGAGCACGCAGAGCAGAGCCTCCCAGAGCTGAACTGGTTCCGTGTCTGCTGCTCTGTGGCGGAGGGGGGGGGGACGATACCCCAATCTCCCTGTGCTGTGTCTGGGGGAAAACCAAAGGATCTGGCCCAGCAGGACGGGGGGTGAGGAACCCGAGAGCAGGAAGGCGGGTGTCAGCAACATGATCAGCGCACCGGGGGACAAGCCCAAAGGGACGTCTGTGATTCACCTCGTGTCACTTCCAGCCACTGGTTCTCGTTCTGCCTGTCTCCATTTTGTCAAGCGACTTCTCGGGAGCCGGGATTGTCTCTGCAGGAAGGCATCTCTACCCCACAGCAGAGTCAGTTGATGCAACTGATCTTTACAACCTGCCTGGGGACACCTTCTAATCCTGGTCCCCCTTTGCACACACCGCGCAGAGACAAGCGGCCGCCAAAGCCCTGCCCGCTGTGTTTGCTCTAGCCACAAAGACGGAAAGAAACTTACACCGTTCCTCTTCTGCTTCCTGAGTTAAGACTTTGAAGTCCAGGAACCACGTTTCTAGCCAGGCGATAACGAAAGAGACGATAGGGAGGAGGTACCCAAAAGCCCCCTTGGCTAGCAGCTGGGGGAGGAAAGGGAAACCACACGAAGTGTTTACACAAGCTGGGCAGTCGCCACATGAGACCAATCACACAAAACAAACCCGCCCCTCCCACGAGCACCCCGAGAGCACTGACCTCCGAGAGGATCACCTTCACGATGAGGAAGGCACTGGACACCAGAGTAGTGAACTAGAAAGTGGAAGACAGTTACACAAGTGTCAGCTTCCATTTCGAAACAAGAGAAAAAGCCCGGTTCATGAAGTAGAGGAGATGGAGTCCTTACCGCAATGACCCACCAATGGCGGAGCTTTAAGAGTGCATAGCCCAGAAGTAACACAGAGAATCGGAAAAAAGCCAGGACCTTTCAAAAACAAAAAGAGCACCGATCAGAAGAAAACTCGTTATTATTTCCATTACACTCATGCCCAGACGCCCCAGCTGATCGTGCTGCACAGACAGCAAGATTTTCTGGGCAAGGACTAGCTAAATAGACAAGAGAAGAGAGGGGAATGGCCCCACATCTTCATTATCAGGAAGACTGACACTGCGGCGGTAGATCTTCCGGAGTTTGATTTAGCGGGTCTAGTAAAGGCCCAATAAATCGAACGCTGAGGGCGCCCTGTCGACGCTGGTATTCTTTGATTCTCAAGGAATAGGGGAAGTCGATGGCTTCCACCAATGTCCCACTGTGGGGACAGCGCTGAAGGTCAAATTAAGGTACGTCCACTCAAGCCACGCAATTAACGTAGCTGGAGCTGCATATTTCAATTCGGCCTTCCAGGTAAGGACAGACAAGGCCTTAGCAGGTTAGTGGGCGCGCTCAGCATGGAAGCCAGGACTTCTGAATTCCAGTCCAATGTCTTATGCAGAAAGCCCCCTGCCTCTATCTTAGGGTACGTCTACACAGCAACGTTGTTTCTACACCACAAGCCGATATTTCGAAATAATGTCGAGCTGGAGGACTTCTTACTCCTACTCTTGTAACCCTCATTTCACGAGGAGTAAAGGAAGTTGAAGGAAGAGTGTTCCTCCTTTGACTTCCTGCGGTGTAGACAGTGCCTAAAGCCGAAACAAGCTATTTTGACTTCAGCTATGCAATTGACGTAGCTGAAGTTGTGTAGCTTAATTCGGGCTTTGCCCTGCTGTGCAGACGTGTCCTTGGAGAGAAATCGCTCTCCCTTTGGTTGTTTAGCATACTTACAAATATATCAAAGAACGAGGTTTTAAACCGGTAAGCAATGATCTCGGTCTCCAAGTTCTTCTGAATGCCATCCTTGGTCTGAGGGTTAGAGAGATTGGAGACACACAGATGTTGAGTGCACAGATAAACCAAAGAGGATAAGAATCAGACAATTCTGTTTCAACATCAGCCAGCTCAAGTTATGTATCCGGCTTGGCTGCTGACTGCATACATGGCCTCATGAGCAAATACTTAGCCATGTCAAAGTCCGCTCCGCTTCCATTTCGCTGGCCGATTCACACCTGGGGTACATCTACACAGCAACATCATTTCGAAAGAACTTAGTCTGCATCTACCCAGCAGAGTTATTTTACTCCAACTCCTGTAACCCTCATTGTACGAGGAGTAAGGGAAGTCGGAGGAAGAGTGCTCTATTTCGAAATTAGTGCTGTGGAGACGCTCCCAATTTCAAAAGACGCTACGCAGTTGACATAGTTCAGCTTTGCGTAGCTTATTTCGAGTTAAGCCCTGTTGTGTCAGCGTGCCCCTAAGTAACAGATAGCAGGAGCAGCACGTAGAGGCTTTGAGTGTGCTTATTGAGAAACACCTACAGGCAGTCCCCGGGTTACGTACAAGATAGGGACTGTAGGTTTGTTCTTAAGTTGAATTTGTATGTAAGTCGGAACTGGTACATATTGTAGGGGAAACTCTAGCCAAACATTTCTCCAGAGCTCAGTTTTATTCTCCCACACCTCACTTCCCTCAGTCCTTTATTCTCAAGCTGAGGTGTCTGCTGAGAAAAGCTGCTCTGCGTCTCCCTGGTCTGCTGGGGGGGGGCGCTAGCTTTGTGTCTCTCTGGTCTGCTGGGGGGGAAGCAGCTAGTACGGGGTTGCCTCACCCCGTTTGTAAGTAGGGATCCGATGTAAGTCGGATCCGTGTAACCCGGGGACTGCCTGTACTGAGGTTAAAAAACAAACAAACCTCACACGCTGAAAACCAGCTTCTGCAAGAAAAATACTTGTGTGTCTTTTCCTCCCTCCATGTGATTCCCGTTGCTAACCAAGGACGCCTTGCCATCTCTCCTCCAGGCATCAAGTAGCCAACTTGCCTGGTAGGATTTCAAAGTGTTTCCTTTTTCTGATCCAATTATCGGAAGTAACTGCTTCTCTTAAAGCACCACTGACTGAAAGCACGCAGAAGGTGATCTGCCTGCCTGCCTAAGGATTCCTTTTCTTGTACAAGCCTGTGTCAAGACTCCATCAGGTTTGTCCTTGGATGAGATCGAAGGGCCGGCATTCTGACACTCACAAAACTACACTAAAAGAGGAGGAAGTTAGCACTTCTTCAGCTCCCAGGTCAGTGGGCTGTAGCTTGGAGCAGAAGTGCAAAAAAAAAAAAAAAAAAGTAGAGCATTTCCGCCTCGTTCTGCATGGGCATGCTAGTAGGGCCTACCAGCTACTGTGTCACTGTGACTCTACTTCAAACCATAGTTAAGGGCCTGCCAGCTGGATTTTTCATTCTTTTAAAAAAAAGCCCACAAATTCTATTTTAGAGGTTGGAACTGTGGTTTACGAGGGCCTGGATGGTTCAGGTAATTGGAACCAGCCGTCCACCTTCAGGGAGCTGGATGGAATACAGCCCAGCTGGACTGGAAGTGGTTACAAGCTGACAGCTGTTTCACGGTCTACGAGAAACCAGTCAGTGGCTCCTGGTCCATAGCGGACAGCCATTCGCATCATAAAAGCCGCTGCTGTGCTATGCATCCTGTGCGGGACGCCAAGGACTGATGAGGCAGCTACCAAGACGTGTTCCCTACAGATCAGGTCTGGGGCCCGCTGGAGGAGAGCAGCGGTTCTGCACCATCGCTCCCCGGTCTGTGACGTGAGGATTTCAGTCTCCGGGACTGGCAGTCCAGCATGTTTCACAGCAGCGGCAGCTTAAAAATTCATTCCAAGAGTGAGTTTGACAGGAGATCTCGCCCCAGAAGGGCAGGGGCGAGGAATCTGGGCTAAACACCTTGGAGGAACGAAAGCTGAAACAAACATCGCCGCCCTGAGCAAAGGGCAACTGTTTCTGCAGCGTTCCTGTCCTTCAGAAGTGGACGTGCTTGGACAATTCGAGTCTGCAGGTGACGGGGCCACCTCCTGAGACCCGGACGAGTTGCCAACAAGCAAGAGCAGCCGTGGAGCAGTTTAGAAGCACTTAGTGATTGCACAAACCTGGCAATTCCCACCGCAGCGCAAGTGAGCCTTCGGAACATTTTCCAACTTACAGCCTCTGGACTCCAGGCCCACAGGTTACCGGTGAGTCCCGCTCACAAGCTAACACACCCACGAGACAGACTGGAGCACGAAAAAGGATTTGGCAGTTTGGACCCTGGTTTTAGTTCCAGGAACCACACTGCAAATCCACACACAAGTGATTCCTGCCCCCCCTTCCATCCAATGGGCTGTGGATGAGAGCAATTCCACAGGAGCAAGGGAATTCCCACAAGGAGTTTCTACTGTGACCGGTGGGTGCTAGCGGAGCACGGGCTGTTAATTTCCTTGAGCCTGTGGTTCCTCACCAAACCAGCAGTACAACCCCTGTAATTTCAGGGGGGGGCGGGAAACGCGTGTGGCAGGACCTGAACTGCAGACTGAGATCCACCGTTTAGCCCTGACTCTGGACAAGGTAAACAGGCCCAAAGGCAACAGCTGATAAGTCCTCCCAGGAGCCAGTCAGAATAAACAAGGCCAGAGGAGCAAGGGCTGCACATACAATTGAAGATGCATCAAACCCCAAGTGATTTAGCAAACCTCAGTCAAAGTTCCCTGTAAGCTGAGTGCCAGGGCGGCCACCCAAGAGACCCAAATGCTGCCCAGCTGACTTGCAGAGTGCCCGCAGTTGGCCTGCGTGTATTTCTACCGGCAGTGCACATCCGCACATGCCCCAGTGCGCATAACAAAATTTATTCTGCACTTAGATGGGAAAAAAACGTGGGGACATTGGTCCCAATCCTCCCGTTTTTTTACTAGAAGTCATTCGCACGCTCAGCCCCTCCCTGGCGCCTGCAGTTTCCCATCACAAGTGTGTCAGTGAGAGGTCTCTCCCTGTAAGGCCTGGCATAACCAGCACTTGGCAGAGGGCAGGGGACAAGACAGGCGGTGGCCAGCAAGAAGCCCAGTTCCCTTTACCGAGGAAGAGGATAGGGGAGAAGGCGCTTACACTCAGCAATGTAGCTATCCTAGGGGTCCCAAAACAGGCTGGTTCCCAGCTGGGATCTTAGCCAGACACACCCCATTCATAGGCCAAATCGGGGCAGCCCCCAGCCCCCCTCAGGACAGCCCTGATGGTAGCACCACATGGCGAAGCTGCTGCTTTCCTGACCACTAATTAACATTGCGAGCAAGGTCCCCACGTGCTCTGTGCCAAGCCCGGGGAGTGATCGTGGGTCGATTTTTGTAACCGCTTTATGGGCCAGATCCTCCACTGGCGTAAAGTGCCCTGGAAACCAGCAGAGAACAGGGCTTTCCCAAACCAGCAGGAGAGATCCGCTCGCTGCTTCCCCCAGAAAGGGCCCTGGACTCACGTTGAGCTCGATGATCCACAGCAGAGACACGAACAGCAGGTCGAAGGTGACGAAGAGGCAGAAGGTCCTCCTGACGTCCGAGATGGCTTTCCTTTTCTCCGGGGAGCAGTAGTAGTGCGGGGAAAAGGCCTGGCTCCGCGACAGGGAGGAGCTCATAGACGCGATGGCCGGGAGGCTGCGCTCCAGGTCATGCTGAAAGTCTCTGGGCTTGCTCATTTTCGGCAGAAACAACTACGTCCGCCGGCAAAGGAAGCAGCATCCGGGAACGCGTCACCATATCACCTGTGGGGAAAATGAGGGGGGTCTTTTGAGACACAAAGGGATGCTCGGGGCTTTCCACACCAAGCCGATTCCTACCCAATGCCTTGCGGCCCCAAAGGATGCCAAGCTAGGAAAACCGCTCCCATCCCATGCAGCAGAAATCCCCCAGCTAGAAGCCAGAGCTGGTAGGGAGGCCAATGTTTGCTCTTCAGTTTCTGGGAGCTCGTGTCACCAGCAGAAAGCAGTTGGGTTATTTTTCATGCCCTGGGTCGCTTCTCCACTGAGCCACTCAACACGAGTGGGGAACCCCCCACCCATTGTTCCAAATTGGTCCTGTCTAGAGCAGGGGGCTGGACTTGATGACCTTCTGAGGTCTTTTCCAGTTCTACGATTCTATGGTTCCCAGAGTCACACTCACTCAGGGGCACTGACCATGTGCCACAAAAGGGTCCGTCTCCAGGGTCATGAGTGCCCGCCACAACAAATCTGTCCACGTCGTCCTCGTTCAAAGCACGTTTTGTCAGCATGGGGCACTTTCCCTGTGGATCTTAGCAGCATCGGTGGCAAATGCTATCGGGATGCCATGGCATTGAGGACAGAGGTTTTTGCAGTGCCACAGACATGGGCAAGGGGGCTCTTAAATACACGCGTCCAGGGATAATCCCAGGCCACCCCGCTGTGGTGGAACAAATCAGTGAGTGGGGGCAGGTAAGGTCCCTAAAGGCGAAACGTTTCACACTGCTCTTGGATCACGTAACACTGCTCCACAGGCTGCCCATCCCCTCAACAGAAGCGCAGCCCAGGTTTAAGCCACATTACGATCCCTCGTGCGCCTGAGCCAGGCCCGCTAGCTACACAGAGACTTTTCTCAAAACTCTGGTTAGAATCGCCAGGGAGGTGGATTTTATCCAGCCTCATGTATCGACGGCCCCGAGAGCCAAGTGCTCACTGCAGCGTCTTTATTGCTGTCTGTACAGTCAAGGAGGTAGGGAGAACAGCTGCATGTCCACACCCAGAGACTGCAGCGCTAGGCATTCTGAATAAGCCTCTGAGCTGAGCCGGTGTGATCAGAAAGACCGTCTGGCCCTGATTTAAGTGCCCTGTAATAGTTTTCCCCTTGTGTGTGTCAACAGAAAAAGGCCACGCAGCAATTCTGTAAAGCGCCGTGTTTAACTCGGGGAGGCTTGGTGATACACCGAGGTGTATCTAATTCACGAGGGCTGGGTACCATGGGCTAGTGAGATAGTTACTGCTCTATGTACTAGAGATGTAAGTGACTAAGCAACTATCTGAGAAACTAATGCTTATCAGATAGTTGACTAGTGACTCGACTAGTCATTTCCCTCCCACTTGCTGCCTCTATTAGAGAGGCAGCAAGGTTGTGGGGGGTAGAAGAGCAGGAGCTGGGGGGAGCTGGCTTAAAAGCAGGTTCCACCCAGCACCATCTCCGCTGGTGGGGGGGCGGCGGCGGCAGGGGAGGCAGAGGCGTAGCAGGGGACCTGGCACGAACCGGGAATCGGCTGATTCCTGGCCTGCACCCAGCCCCCTCTGCTGCACTTGTGCTTTTTAAAATGTATTACGAGCCAGATGCTGCCCAGCTGACTTGCAGAGTGCCCGCAGTTGGCCTGCGTGTATTTCTACCGGCAGTGCACATCCGCACATGCCCCAGTGCGCATAACAAAATTTATTCTGCACTTAGATGGGAAAAAAACGTGGGGACATTGGTCCCAATCCTCCCGTTTTTTTACTAGAAGTCATTCGCACGCTCAGCCCCTCCCTGGCGCCTGCAGTTTCCCATCACAAGTGTGTCAGTGAGAGGTCTCTCCCTGTAAGGCCTGGCATAACCAGCACTTGGCAGAGGGCAGGGGACAAGACAGGCGGTGGCCAGCAAGAAGCCCAGTTCCCTTTACCGAGGAAGAGGATAGGGGAGAAGGCGCTTACACTCAGCAATGTAGCTATCCTAGGGGTCCCAAAACAGGCTGGTTCCCAGCTGGGATCTTAGCCAGACACACCCCATTCATAGGCCAAATCGGGGCAGCCCCCAGCCCCCCTCAGGACAGCCCTGATGGTAGCACCACATGGCGAAGCTGCTGCTTTCCTGACCACTAATTAACATTGCGAGCAAGGTCCCCACGTGCTCTGTGCCAAGCCCGGGGAGTGATCGTGGGTCGATTTTTGTAACCGCTTTATGGGCCAGATCCTCCACTGGCGTAAAGTGCCCTGGAAACCAGCAGAGAACAGGGCTTTCCCAAACCAGCAGGAGAGATCCGCTCGCTGCTTCCCCCAGAAAGGGCCCTGGACTCACGTTGAGCTCGATGATCCACAGCAGAGACACGAACAGCAGGTCGAAGGTGACGAAGAGGCAGAAGGTCCTCCTGACGTCCGAGATGGCTTTCCTTTTCTCCGGGGAGCAGTAGTAGTGCGGGGAAAAGGCCTGGCTCCGCGACAGGGAGGAGCTCATAGACGCGATGGCCGGGAGGCTGCGCTCCAGGTCATGCTGAAAGTCTCTGGGCTTGCTCATTTTCGGCAGAAACAACTACGTCCGCCGGCAAAGGAAGCAGCATCCGGGAACGCGTCACCATATCACCTGTGGGGAAAATGAGGGGGGTCTTTTGAGACACAAAGGGATGCTCGGGGCTTTCCACACCAAGCCGATTCCTACCCAATGCCTTGCGGCCCCAAAGGATGCCAAGCTAGGAAAACCGCTCCCATCCCATGCAGCAGAAATCCCCCAGCTAGAAGCCAGAGCTGGTAGGGAGGCCAATGTTTGCTCTTCAGTTTCTGGGAGCTCGTGTCACCAGCAGAAAGCAGTTGGGTTATTTTTCATGCCCTGGGTCGCTTCTCCACTGAGCCACTCAACACGAGTGGGGAACCCCCCACCCGCTGTTCCAAATTGGTCCTGTCTAGAGCAGGGGGCTGGACTTGATGACCTTCTGAGGTCTTTTCCAGTTCTACGATTCTATGGTTCCCAGAGTCACACTCACTCAGGGGCACTGACCATGTGCCACAAAAGGGTCCGTCTCCAGGGTCATGAGTGCCCGCCACAACAAATCTGTCCACGTCGTCCTCGTTCAAAGCACGTTTTGTCAGCATGGGGCACTTTCCCTGTGGATCTTAGCAGCATCGGTGGCAAATGCTATCGGGATGCCATGGCATTGGGGACAGAGGTTTTTGCAGTGCCACAGACATGGGCAAGGGGGCTCTTAAATACACGCGTCCAGGGATAATCCCAGGCCACCCCGCTGTGGTGGAACAAATCAGTGAGTGGGGGCAGGTAAGGTCCCTAAAGGCGAAACGTTTCACACTGCTTTTGGATCACGTAACACTGCTCCACAGTATGCCCATCCCCTCAACAGACGCGCAGCCCAGGTTTAAGCCACATTACGATCCCTCGTGCGCCTGAGCCAGGCCCGCTAGCTACACAGAGACTTTTCTCAAAACTCTGGTTAGAATCGCCAGGGAGGTGGATTTTATCCAGCCTCATGTATCGACGGCCCCGAGAGCCAAGTGCTCACTGCAGCGTCTTTATTGCTGTCTGTACAGTCAAGGAGGTAGGGAGAACAGCTGCATGTCCACACCCAGAGACTGCAGCGCTAGGCATTCTGAATAAGCCTCTGAGCTGAGCCGGTGTGATCAGAAAGACCGTCTGGCCCTGATTTAAGTGCCCTGTAATAGTTTTCCCCTTGTGTGTGTCAACAGAAAAAGGCCACGCAGCAATTCTGTAAAGCGCCGTGTTTAACTCGGGGAGGCTTGGTGATACACCGAGGTGTATCTAATTCACGAGGGCTGGGTACCATGGGCTAGTGAGATAGCATTAGTTTCTCAGATAGTTACTGCTCTATCAGATAGTTGACTAGTGACTCGACTAGTCATTTCCCTCCCACTTGCTGCCTCTATTAGAGAGGCAGCAAGGTTGTGGGGGGTAGAAGAGCAGGAGCTGGGGGGAGCTGGCTTAAAAGCAGGTTCCACCCAGCACCATCTCCGCTGGTGGGGGGGCGGCGGCGGCAGGGGAGGCAGAGGCGTAGCAGGGGACCTGGCACGAACCGGGAATCGGCTGATTCCTGGCCTGCACCCAGCCCCCTCTGCTGCACTTGTGCTTTTTGGTTCTGAATACATTTAAAAAGCAGAGCGGCAGCGGGGCTAGGTCCCGGGGCCAGGAGCCAAACCCCACTGCGACTCTGCAGTCCACCCCCCCCACATATCAAATAATCGACTAGTCAATTAGCGGATTAAATGCTACGTAACATCCCTAGTACGTACTGCAGAGGATTATCAGCATTTCTGGTAGGAACGTGTGGATTTCACTTGATGGGGTGCGGCGAGAAGAGAAAACCAAAAGCAACGCACAAGATCTAGGGAAGACAACTCCGGTGCCCAGGCACAAGACAATGGGGCAAGCTACGCGGTTCGCTTCTCACAGCCTGTCTCCAAGGAAGCTGCAAGTCTGGTTTTGCAAATCTAGGAGCCCAGGGAACGAGAGAAAAGAGTTGAGCGTCCTGGGGGAGGGGGATCAAAAGCTATGCATGGAGACAGGCTGCCAGAGAGAGCACGCAGAGGGAATCTGAAGACGCTGGGCCCTCCCACACTCAGGGAATGGCAGGCCTCGGGGTAAACCTAGAGGTGTGTCCTGGCCGTTTCATTGTTTAAGATGTTTTCTCTCTAATTATTTTCACTGTGCGCAGGCTCTCTGGTCGCTGCATTACCCACTCTCAGGGAAGAGACTCAGGTCTGAGCCTACAGCTCGGCAGGCTCCAGAGATCGGCTGATGCTTGCTTACAGGAATCAGAGGGGCAGCCGTGTTAGTCTGAATCTAAACAACAAGAAGCCCAGTGATACCTTATAGACTACCAGATGTATTGGAGCATAAGCTTTCGTGGGCAAAGACCCACTTCCTCAGATGCATGTAGTGGAAATTCCAGAGGCAGGTATAAATATACAGGCACAGGGAAAGAAAGGAGTACCAATCAAGAGGAAGGCCAGAGATAAGGAGGTCAAAAAGCTGATGCTTATGTGGACTTTATTAAGGTAGTGCCTGTATTACGGCCTGGCTCCCGACACTGCCAATGCCCCACTAGGCTGATACACCACCACCGCCCCGAGACGCGTTGGGCTTACGTCGGCGACCATAGGGGGATGCTGTGACCAGTAGACACAGGAGGCTACGTATATTGGCTGTCATTCTTGTTTACAGCATGGATCCTTGCTGGGATGGGCCCACCTGAACCCTACTCTCCACTGGGAGCCCCCCACCCCGCCCTTAAAACAAGGGCAGCGTGAACACGTACCACCGCAGTAAGTACAGCAGTTGTCGTTGGACGTAGGCTTTTAGTGTCTACCCACCCTATGTGCAACCTGCTGAGGCCATCACAGTCAGCGCTAGGGCCTGGTCTGAAAGGGGGAGAATCAAGGGATACCCCTAAGCCAGGTGATGGCTTAAGACTTGAGAGCAACAGCACCTGATAAGCCCATGACAGCTCTTAGGTTAGGGATGTCAAATTTAAATGGGATCCCCTTCCAGGTGGGGGGCTGCTCGGGCTGGGCTGGGGGACCAGTTAGCCACCAACTTCCCTAAGCCAAGGTGCAATACCTGTGACTGGTACCGATAATAAAAGACATTCCTTAACACTGCTGAAACATATTGTTCCTGTCCATACATGCAAGAAGCCATCATGTTCTACCACTGATGGCGCCCCATCTCATTCCCCAGCTGCGAGGGTCGCTGTAGGACAGGACAGGGCCAGGGAGGGAATCACCAGGGAGCCATACAAGTCACTTTCACAGTCACGTTTCTGACAACGGCAGCACTTTCGGAGAAAGACGGCACTTGGTATAAACAGCAGGAACAAGCCCTTCCTCTTCTAGGGGCGATGGGGGAAGAGTCTCCAGCTGCAAAGGTTAAGACATCTGTGAGTGCTAAACAACAGATCGAGGTGCACACACAGGGCCGCAGTCTCTAATTAGAGTGTCATTGCGTTCTCAGCTCAAACGCCACTTCGCACTTATAGTCCTCTGCAGCTTTCAAGTACAGGCAGTCCCCGAGTTACGCGGATCCGACTTACATCGGATCCGCAGATACGAACGGGGATTTTCTCGCCCTGGAGGACTGGAGTGGCGGGACGCCTGGTCCCACCGCCCGCCTCCTCCGGGGCGAGAAAAGCTGCTCCCGGTCACCCTGGTCTGCTGGGGGAGCCAGCAGACCAGGGAGACGGGGAGCAAAGCAGTGCCCCAGTCGGGGAGGGGGACAGGGAGCAAAGCCCCGGGCCTGTGGTAGAGCAGGTGGGCCGCTGCCGGTTGGTCCCGCAGCACCGCTCCTTGGCGCTACTGGACCAACCCGGCAGCACCCCAGCTGCTCTGCCCCAG